GACAAATGACCAATGAAGCGTATGCACACAAAGGTGTAGAATGTGAACGAGTTGTACAAAACCAAAGGCCAAGTGGTCATCCCGTACGTAAAGGGTATATCCGAAACCATCCAGAGGATATATCGCGTTCATGGCATAGCAACAGCCATGAAACCCCACAAGACGCTTTGCAATATCCTAGTACACCCTAAGGATAAAACACCTAAAGAAAACGTCGCAGAATGCGTATACAAAAACGGATGCAAAAACTGCGACGCGTTGTATATTGGAGAGACTGGAAGTCGATTTGGGGTCCGCCTTGGTGAACACCGGAAAGACACAGAAACCCAAGAAGGTAGGAAATTCACCAGATCTGAAAGAAAACAGTCGGAGTCCCAGATAAATAAATCGGCAATCACAGACCATGCCACACAGAAAAAACATGTGATTGTTCAAGCGGCAGATAAAGGAAGCCATCTGGATACGCCGTTGTAGGCCAGTTCTAAATCGAGACGAGGGGGCTCAAAGACTCTCGCACATCTATGACCAAGTGTTAACAAAGCGTAGCTGAATTGAGTCATTTTGGTTTATATATAACGACTATTGTACATACGTTGCCAGCGTAGCCGAAATCGACATCGATTTTATAGACAACTCGTACACATTCTACACCTTTGTGTGCATACGCTTCATTGGTCATTTGTCTGATGAAGGTAACAGTGTACATATCGTACAAGTCATCGAAACATCACATAGAAAATGTTATTGGTTGTGTAAAAAGAACTTCTCATAATCCATACTTACCAAACTGAAGAAAATGTTTAGAAATACCTACTCCGTAGTAAAACTACTGTACTATAGTTATAGTGTTGTAGTACGTTAGAACTACCTACTCCATAGCAAAACTACTGTATTACAGTTATAGTGTTGTAGTACGTTAGAACTACCTACTCCGTAGTAAAACTACTGTATTACAGCAATAGTGTTGTAGTATTTTAGAACTACCTTATCCGTTGTAAGACTACTGTATTATAGTAATAGTGTTGTAGTATTTTAGAACTACCTTATCCGTTGTAAAACTACTGTATTATAGTAATAGTGTTGTAGTACGTTAGAACTACCTACTCCATAGCAAAACTACTGTATTATAGTTATAGTGTTGTAGTACGTTAGAACTACCTACTCCATAGTAAAACTACTGTATTACAGTAATAGTGTTGTAGTATTTTAGAACTACCTTATCCGTTGTAAAACTACTGGATTACAGTAATAGTGTTGTAGTATTTTAGAACTACCTTATCCGTTGTAAAACTACTGTATTACAGTAATAGTGTTGTAGTATTTTAGAACTACCTTATCCGTAGTAAATTTCTTCTAATGCATCCATCTAAAAAAACTAACTGTATTCCATGTTTTTAGTTTTATAATTGTATTGTATAGATTTGCGTCGTGTCCGTCCGTCCGCTCTCTTGGCCGGGCTCTATCTCCTACACTACTAGTCACTGGAACTTTATACTTGGAGTATGGATTCATCTTCGTAAGGCGGTGTGTCGTACATCAAAGTAGGTCACTCTGTTTTTGACCTTTGACCTGCATCAAAGAAAAGGTTTGTCCGGGCTCTATCTCTTACACTACTAGTCACTGGAACTTCTTGCTTGGGGCTTTGGGCTTGGGTTCACTTGCATTGAAGAAGAAGCATACTTGCCTGTCAGGTAAGATGGATTTCATGGAACAAGTTTCACAACTGCAAAAACTTAATCATCGTTGAGGTTTCAATATGAACTTGCCGAGTCCACCAACTAGTTAACAGTCCTACACATTGTCTTGGAGGAATTCTTGACTTGATCTTATCATCGAAAGTATAGCCAGTGAAAAATACACCTGTGTTCTTCTCAGATCACCATCTTGTTGCCATAAAATACTGTTAAACTCATCCTAAACATAACTAGCATACAACCATATTCCTTACGTATGTGACACCATATTCCTTACGTATGTGACACCATATTCCTTACGTATGTGACACCATATTCCTTACGTATGTGACACCATATTCCTTACGTATGTG